CCTGTGCGACTGCGCCGGCTGCGACGTCTGCTTCCCGGTCACGGAGTGCCTGGACCTCGCCATGGAAATCTCTCAAATGCTCCACCACTGATGCGCCGCGTCGAAACAGAGGAGGCAGACAGGAGTTGAAGAAAGTTGTTTATTTGTTAAAATTTTAACAAAAGCCAAATTACTGAGGGGGGGAACAACACGCACGTGTTTGTGTTTAACAGTCAGTTTTAACTCTCACATGTCTACATGTGGTAGATAATAGCTGCATATATGCAAAAAAAAAAAAAGTGAGAGGAAGTATGCTTTGGTGTGGAGCACCTTTAAATAGACCTAGCTCCAACTTTTGAACGAGCTACAAACCGCCTGCTGAACAGAAAAAGTAAGTCGGTGTTAGAAAAATAACTAAAATTTAAATGCAATTCTTAATATTTGCGCCTACTTTACGGAAGAGTTGACCTGCGGGTTCCTCTTAATCGTCCATTTTTATAATCAGTTCTGAGGTGAAACTAGTAGTTGTTTTTTTAAAGGGCTCAAAGCCCTCTGTAATACACACAACGAGCAATATTAAAGCATGATCAGATATTATATCGCAAAGTAAAACAATCGGAGTAAAACATGCCAACTGGTGAAAGTCATTCAGTGATCACAGAAGGTTAAAAGGAAAAGACAAAAATAGATATTAGTCATGAAAAAGTATTTATCAAACTATCAGGGATATAAAAAAAAGTTATGAGCTACAGTACTGTTGGAAAATTGTTCTCTTCTCAGACACTCATGCGTTTACTAAGTAAATCAACTCAAAAAATAAAAAGTGGAACAAATCCTGCTTTGGCTAAACCAGCTGCTTGTACGGCTTTATTATCATCTTGAGAACATGCGACCGGGCCTAGAAGCAGTCCACTGGGTGTAAAGTACTAAAAAAAAAAACCCAAAAAGCTCTCATAAAATGCATAGACTGCCTTAAAGTAAGGTGCAATAAAATTGCTCAAAATAAAATACTCTTATGTACAAAATGCAGTAAATATTTCACAATGTGCCAATTCATTTAAAACAGGGTGTCCAAAGTCGATCCTCGAGGGCCGGCATCCTGCATGTTTTAGTTCTCTCCCTGGTTTAGCACACCTGCATCAAATGATGGCTCATTAGAAGACCTAAGGAGAACTTTGGCTTGCTGAGGAGTTTGTTGCTACCACTAGGGAGAGAACTACAACATGCAGGATGCCGGCCCTCGAGGACCGACTTTGGACACCCCTGATTTAAAAGATCCCTTCTGTAGCTGCTGGTGAGACAACCAACAGGAGCGAACGACGAACCCTGATTCCAGTCAGTTGAAGAAACAAAAATTTAAATTAAAAGTTATACTGAATTGTTGGCATCTCTTAGTATGTTTGCTATGCCGGTGAGTCCTCACAGCTTTTCTCATCATAATAAATTTAGAAAAAAACAAAAGCAAGACGTCCCTTTTAAATCTCTGAATTTCTCAATGCTAAAGGTCCACTTCACTAATATATAATATTCCATTTAATAAGATTGCATTTATAAACTTAAACAATCATTTGAGCTGTTCCCAATAAGAACAATATGTATGGCAAAAACAAAAATAAATTCAATAATTAATCATCTGATTCAATATTAAGTTAGTTTTCTATGATAGCTTTGAACGTTTTTCTTTTCAGTCCTACAAATAGACTTTAGTTATTAGGGATAGACTGCACTTCCTAGATCATCTCTGATCGCTATGGAAACCCATCACAAGTCCTCGTCCATTTCAAGGCTGCTCCTGCGGCTGCTGGTTTTAGAGGCACCTGGTGACAGTGGGGAGAACAGCGGCTCGCCCATCCTCTCCGGGGACAGGGCGCACCCATCGTCCATGAGAATGTCCCCCAGGCCCACGTCCGGGTAGAGCGCCGAGGTGGTGGGGTCGTCCAGCTCGGCGAAGCTCAGGCTGCCGAGGTCCAGCGGGCTACTGATGGTGACGCCGGCGGGGGAGTCAGAGGAGGGCGGGGAGAGAAAGGAGGCCGGCAGCGGCTGCGCTATGGCGCCCAGAGCCGAGAGGTTCAGGGTGGTGGCGGCGCCGGGGTTCTGGCCGGCGTGGGGCACCGCCACCGCCGCCTGCTGCTGCTGCTGCTGGGCGGCTGGCAGTCCGTGGATTCGTGCCTGCATTTCAAGTTCCTGAAGAAAAATATGTGAGAACGACACCATGATGAATAAATCCACTTCTAACTAAATAAAGGAAAGTTTGATAGATGTTTTAGGACTGTAAAGTACAATTCCTTACAAAAGTACAATTACAAATAAAAATCCACAACCTGTGGCTTGATTTGTGTGCAGGATCAGCTTCCACTTAATTTATGGCTGCCAAGTCTCTCAGTGTTTATTTGACTGAAGACTTTGCACATTTATCAGTTTTTCTGATATGGCCGAAAAACCTATCACGATATAAAGTGGTTCATATCAGTCAATATCAATAATTTTTTAGATCAATAATTATTTAATTGTTTTTTTGTTTATAATATATAAAATGCTACCAAACTAGTGCCGTGTTGTTTTGTGTCTTTTCCACATTATTTTTTATTTTGAAGCAGTTATGAGGCACTGCTGCTGCGCAAGTTACAGAATAAGTTGTTGCTTGGAAACCTCAGAGGAAGTGAGTTGGGTAGTACGGTGATTTCATTTATATAGTACATTTTCAGCAACCAGGCAATTCAAAGTGCTTAGTTAGGTGAGTTAGTTGATGCCACCAACCTATAGCAATAGCTAACGGGGGCTGAGCAGCTAATGCCTTTCCTCTGCCTCCATCTCCCAGAATGCTGTGCGGCTCTGAATCAGAGTTCAGTGAATATTCTATATATATACAATACTGAAAATTCAGTCAGTTGTAATATCTATTGATATCAATCACGTATCTATAGCGATATATACTGTTGTTAATTTATTGTCCAGCCCTATTCTGACAACAAAGGCAGAGTGGCTCTGCAAATTCCACATGTCTTGTTTTATCAACGGAATTTAGGTTTGGATTTGACTAGGCTCCTAATAGATGAAAATGTTTTAACCTAAAACATTTCACTGCAGCTCTGGCTGCACGTTTAGTGCACCTGTCCTGCTGGAAGGCAAACCTCCGCACCGGTCTTAAATCTTTCCCGTGTCTGCGTGATGCTGCCAGTATCAGGTTTCACCGCAACAATCGTGTGTGTATAGGTGTGCAACAGTGAACACTTCAAAGACCGCAAACTCAGACCTGGATGCGTAACATTAGAATGTGGTTGGCCTGCTCCAGCTTCTTCTGACGCATTTCGACATCCTTGGCTCTCTGCTGCTCCTTCTGCAGCTTCCTGATGTAGTCCACAGAGGCCTTCAGGATGGTGCCTTTATTCCAACGCATCTCCCTGTCAGGCCCAAATACGGAAAGAAAAAAAAAACTAATGTAAATGCAGTTGTTCAAGTCACAATTGTAATGTTTACTGAGAAAGGGAAAAGAAGAAAAGAAGCTGTTCTTTTTAGCAACTTACGGGTCACTCGACTTGGGGATCAAAGCACCCAGCTCCTTTATTCGGTCGTTTATGTTGAATCGTCGCCTCCGCTCGACTGCAGCAAAGAAAGAGTTAAGAAACAGACACACTGATCTACTGCTGCAGCTATCGGTTAGTTTAGTTATCTATTATTCTGATGATTAGTCGGATTTTTAAGAAATTGGGCACATTCTGCAGATTTTTCACGATAACGCACAAATAAATTAAAAATGCAAATAAAGAAATTACATTTCTTGTTCAAATAGGAAAATAAACATTTTATATAATTAATACGCCATTCCATTAGCTAAGCTTGATCATTTGTAGCAAAGGATGCGCGTGCAGCTAATAAAGTACTTCTAACATTAACATGAAAAAAATTGAAGAGTTCTGGGTAAAGCATTTTTAAAGAAAAAGTTTTAGTTTAGTTTTTTTTTTATCTTAAATGCAAAACATATTTTTTGCACAGTTTTGGCTTAATCACTGCTTTGAGTGTGTGTGTGTGTGTGTGTGTGTTGTTTTTTTCTTTCAGAAAATAGCCCTTTTAAAAGTCTGTTTACTCCAGTTAACAATTAATCGATTGCTAAACTAGCTATTGATTATTTCATCAATGGTTCCAGCCCAACTCTGATTCAAAGAGACTCCAACGCTGCGGGCGACTTACTGAGGTTGTGGTTGTCTTTCTTCTGCCTTTCCTTCAATAATGCTTTGGCGTCTGCGTCTGAAAGAGGAGTTGAACGTTTTGTAATGGAATCAGACACGTTAAATAAAAGTTTCATAACGACGCAGACAGAAGTCAATGCAAGCGGGCTCTGTACCGGTAATTTCCCTTTTGATCTGTGGAAGGTCAGCAGGGCAGGAGTTGCTGACAGTGAGAGTAGGAGCTGCCATTCCAGGGCTGTGGTAAACATCCAGCAGATTTCCCGGGAGCTACAGCAACAGCAAACATGTCATCATGCACGCAGTCAATGGTTTAGAGAAAAAAAGGAAATATCTGTTGAACAGATGACATGTAAGGAACTTCAAAATGAAACTGCTGTTTAATTTAAAAGCCGCTCTTCATCACAGGAGCTTTAAAACATTAAAGTTTAGAGCGTTTACCTCGGCTTGTTTCCTTTTATGGTCCTCTAAAAGCATCACCACAATTCTCATTATTCAATTTATCCTACAAGTTTCTCCCCCTTCACCTTCAGTTAACAGTTAACCTGCTGCTGCAGCAGTTTTTAACAGTCGACACAAATCCACTATGACTCGCCTCCCCTTGTCGGGCCGGCCTGCGACGGCTCTGGCCCGCCCAGGCAGCACCTCTGTGACGAATCGTAGGTGAGTGCCACAAATGTATATTTACTCCCACAGCTTCTGAATTCCACACGTGAAAGAGAGCGTTCCCTTCGGCGAAAAAGCACTCAGGAGCCGGGTCCTGATGGCTGCGATACCGAGCGGCAACCAGAATAACCTGTCGGTCCTGAGGGAAATGTCGAACAGGAAGCACTCAGAACAGCATTGTTCTTCATACCGTGCTGGGCAGCTGAAGACCTGAGTCGATCAAGGTGATGATGTCGTCGTTAAAGCTGGATTCGAGACTGATGATGTCGTCGATCACATCATCGATCTGGACGGGAAGAGAGAGAGAGAGGAAAGGTCTCCGTCAGAGTCATTCCGGGAGCAAAACGGCGACGGCATAAAGCAGAGCTTGGCTTCACAGACGGAGCTGCGTGGTTCTGTTCAGCTGCAGGCGCAATATTTAACATCCTATTGTGACAACAGAGCGACGAGAATGCGACAACAGGAGGCATGCATCGTCCCGGAGGGAGTTCTGAGCAAATGCAGCCTTTCAACTAAAAACGAGCCGGGCGACCTGCGTCTAACTTCCTCAAAACACATTCGGCGAATCTGCAGAAACAGTAACGGATGGGCGGCGTTGTGCAATCCACTGCGGGAGGAATAAAAACGAAACCCAGAGTGAAAAACTTAGGAATTTTCCATACTTCCTCCTTGTTCGAGCCGATGTTCAGCAGAGCCATGGGGCTGTTGGGGGCGCTGCTGGCGCAGGGGCCGACTTCGGGGGCCGAACTGGACTGGTGGACAGGGGACACGCCGAGCGACTGCGTGACCGCCTTGTTCCCCAAAGTGGTGGAGAGGTACTGCTTCACCTGCTGCCTCTGGGCCTGCTGGATGTGGTACTTGGTTGGGTTCTCCAAGTGGGTCTGCACCTGGAACATTTCAACAGTTTAAACGCTCAGATTCCCACATGAACCCACTGAGAGACACACAACACTGTGTCAAGATAAAAGAAAAGATTTAAGGATGCAAACATATTAGAATGGCATGTTTTTAACTTGATTCGTTAGTGTTTTCCTGCTTTAACATGAGCAACGGGTGACTGCAAAACCAGGAAGGAAATAAAAACAACAGTGGATCCTCTGAAAACGTTTACAGAGTTTTCAGATTCGTTGCGTATATAAAAAAAAATCTTTAGATTGAGGGTGTCCAAACTTTTTTTTTCATGTGAGCCAAATAATTTATAATTAAAAGCTAAAATTGAACTGAACTATTTCAAATCAACCAATAAAGTTATCAGATTTTTTTTATTTGTTGCATATTTTTATTTGTTAAATGTTCAGGCTCAATTGAAGAAAACTGATTTTTTTTTGTGAGTTTGCAGCAATAAAAAGGTCAGACTTCCTATGAAAACACTTTCTGCAATTAGCCAAGTTTTAATAAAGCATTTACAGGCCAATTCAGGTGTATTTGGGAGCATAAGTCACAGAGCTGAAGTGATTCTAGTTACTATGACAATAGAAAAAAACCAGAGGGCTTGAAAAATATGATCACTTTGTGTTGCATCTTACATTTTTGTGAGTAGATTTTGATTTAAAAGTGGCAGTTTTGTCCTAAATCACTGAATTTATTCTTGATTTAGTTTAGGGTGTGATAAGTTTGAAGTTAGTTGACACTACTGACAAACATAAATTCATGCTCTTAAACGCTGTCTTTTCTTAAAAAAGAAAAGATTGATTACACACTGTTCAATCATTTTTAGACAGTGACATGTTAATAAAATAATTAATACTTAGCTCTTACTTTTAGCACCTCCACAGGCACCTGCGCTGGTGGGGGCCGAGCGGCGTTGGGCGGCAGGGAGACGGAGATGGCTGGCGTGGAGTCGGAGCCTCTGAGCTGGGAGGCGGAGGCCTGCTGCTGGGCCTCGCGCCGCTCCTGCTCCTGGGCTTGCTCTCGCATCAGCTGCTGGCGCAGCAACACGCGCGACGACATGGCGGACACAGATCAAGATCTAAGGATGGAGCTGGAGAGCAAAAACAGGAAAAATTAGATTTTAATGTGGTATATATAGTAATATTTGATGTATAGCCATTTTAATAACATATTTATTTGGATATTGGTAAATGACACCAAATGTCATCTTCAGGCTCTTTATAAACAGCTGCAATTCCACCTGGGAAGTTTTCTTTTTCAGACAAATGGGTTTTTTATATTCTAAATGCAAAATGTGTATATTTTTATACAGTTTTGGCTTAATTACTTCTCTGCGTTGTTTTTTTTTTCTTTCTGCAAATGGCCTTTTCTGGGTCTGTATACTCCACAAATTAGTTGATTATTTTAATTAATTCGATTAATCATTTCAGTCGTAATTCATTCGTACTGTTACTGCAGTGTAATGAGAGTTAGTTGACTGTCATTTGGTCAAATAATGTTAAAATGTCTATATATGCAGTCTAAACACACTGCTTATCTTCCTCAGAAATACAACACAAGTGGAAACGGTACTTTTCTTTTTTTTTGACCTAACAGATCACTGACTTTTTGCTCCCTGTAAAACCAAACAACAGATTAACTTCCAGTGAATTTACTTTTTCCTCTTTTGCACTTCCTGTGTTGCCATTTCAGTAGAGTTACCAGCTTCTGTAACTCTACCTACAAGTTTATGGTGACCTCTGATCACCCACTACTGATACTTTAATGACAGATGAGTGTAGCTGGAAAACAAAAATCACTTCAGCATCAATAAAACAGATCGTCTATTAACACACAGCACCATTGGAAACGTAATAAAATCAACTCATTCGCTTGAAAATGTAGGCCATACTGTCGGACGCAAGGCCGTCCAGTCTGACAGAGTCAAAAACAATCTTAGTCTGATAATAAAAAGGCTTGTTGTTCCTTGAATTGAAGTGTTCTTCAATTCACTTGTTTTCAGTTTAATTTAAAAAAAAAAAACAGATAAAGGGTTTGGGAGATGTGCTTTGATGAAGGGATAGTTTTTGTGATTCTTTGTATTTTTCTCTTTCATGTGTTCCTAGTAGGAAAAAAATGGCATCGCTCAAGATCTATACAGACTTCAGAGAAAACCAGAAATCGGTATCTGCCAGAAAAAGTTTAATTTGTACATCTCTAGATTTTTTTTTTTTTTGCCCATTCAGGTCTTGACTTTATTAATATTTCTTCCCATCTTTAACCATCTGCACTACAGAAAAAAAAGTTGTCAAATATTCAATTTGTTAAAAAAATGTTTTTGTTATTTGAGCAATTAAATTTAAAAAATGTTACTTTTTATATAGCTTCATTACACGCAGAATGATAGATTTCAAAAACGAGGATGTATTCTTGCTCATTTAGATTATTATGGCTTTCAGCTTGATTTGACCGACACACAGCGACGCTGTGGTCAATGACGCAGACATTGGTACCATCAAGTCTAGCTGGAAAAAAGAATCAGTATCTTCACAACGCTTGTCAAAGAGAAAGAATGAAGTACTCTAAAATTCCTCTGCTACGTTGGCAAATTATCACTAAGTGGAAGCGTCACTCTGGAGCTGAAGCAACTTGGATTCTGTGCCTTTCCACTCGTTCTCCAGACGCTGGGACACTGATTTTAAAGAGCAGTTTGGACCACTGAGCAACAGTCCTGTTCTTTCTCTGAAACGCTTCACATCTGACCTCTGTGGTTCAGGAGTGGATTACCACAAGGAACACAGTTGTACCCAGTGTCATGGATACGTCAATCAACATCTGGAGAATAGCTGCTGTTATCCCCGTTGCTTTTCCCCCCCATTATTACACTTTGATGCAGCGCTCTGACCAAACAGCATTTATCTGTCAAGTTTGTATTCTTCCACATAATTATGTAGATCATAAACAACTTCAAAATGAAAAAACAACAATTTATTATTGATCTGAAGTGGCATTCCAGTTTTCTTACAACCTCAATTTGCCACAATTATCAAATTAAAATGTTATGTCATAAATAGATCACAATGTGTGCAGTGAAACTATCCTTGTTGAATTGAATTAGATATATTTAGTGAGATTCTAACTCATGTAAGTTACTGTAAAGAATTTGAGCGATTCAGTAAACATTTGCTCTTATCTCATCCTTAAGTTAAACACAAGGTTCTTACACAATTTCTGGAGTAGTGGAATTTTTTTTCTTTACATTGTTTTCCATTTTGTACACAGACGGGCAGTTTACTCTCCGAGTACAAAAATAAAACCGGAGCCATTCTCTGTAGCCAGACAGTTCAGCACAAGCTGTTCCACGCTGAGGCTGCAGACTGCGCACTACGTCCCCCGCTAGCTGGTTACGTAAAAACACTTGAAAAGTGCGCTAAAAATGATAGCGAACTTCTTCGAAAGTAGAAGTGTCTGTTACATGCCTTACGTCGCTGTTCGTGTTGGTTAATAATTTGTCAAAGCCCCACAGACGGTAGTTAGCTTGATTTCGGCTGTTTTGTAATCTCTATTTTAAGCGGTCTGCTTCGGCGTCATGACTTAGCTGAGCTCATTTTGACAGCTCCGACTCTCTGATGGGCCCACACCAACACAGCTGATAAAAAAAACACAACTAATGTAAAATATACACATTATAAACTCTTTATGTCCGCTTCTTTATTTTAGCGCGAAAATAAAGCGACGTTAGTTGTTTTTTTTCCTTACTAAAACGAGCAAAGGCTAGGGAGAAATAGGAAGTTGCCGCTCAGCTAACAAGTCAGCTAGCAGCAGTAGATAATTACCCAACAAGTTAAGGCTTATAAATTAGGAAACATACCGTCGAATAAGATATACTTACCAAACAAATATGTTCGTTTTACATAATTACACCCATTAATTCCCGGAAACCTCCGCTTTCTTTGCCATGTTTTAGTGTCGGCGGTTACAAACTAAGCAGCCCCCTAGCCTCGACACTAAACGCTGTTGTTTATGTTGCACTGAGGTCATCACGCCAACGTTACCCGGAAGTTGTCGAAATCTGTCAAGTTGTTGTCAACTGAATAGTTTTCCTCTTTAGAACAGATGTTTTTAAAATAAACATTTGCGACATCTAAATAGACATGGAAAGCACGAAAAATTACCATAGAGGTGTAATTTCCATTTACAATATGAAGACACCAAATGATAACATGTTGTATATACCAAAGTAATAGTTAAAGTAAAGACAGGACAAAGAATTGTTTAACTTTCTTTTTAATTTAATTCCCATGATCAGTCCTCTGAGAGTTAGAAGTCCATTGCAGATGCAAGTGTGTCCGACAGTTTGGTAGCAATTTTGTCTGTTATAAAAAGAGAAAAAAACATGATATTTTACTGGCACAACATCCATCAAAAACAAGTTACGCAACAGTGGAAAAACAAATCCCTGTGGTTGTTCAGTCAGTAATAGATTTTCTTCTACCTGGGAGGAGGGGGGGAAAGGGGGGAAGAAGGTTCGAACTTAAGAAACCTATTGGAGCACATTCAACATTTTCTCAAGAAATCTTTAATGGTTTATTATTCTGCATATCTGTGACAAAACACACATTGAAATTCAGGAGAATTTCAATGTTAACATTAAAGTGAAACTAACACAGGTATGCATTAACCAGTACAGCTACTGTACATTAGGAATATACATATACATTTTCATTTCTGCTTTTCTTGACACATTAGAAAGTTTCAGTCTCATTCTGTCTCATGTACCAGTCAGGCTTTTTCTGCTCCGTACAGATTGCTGTTTTTTTTGTTTGTTTGTTTTTTTTAGGTCTGACATGCTGAGTTAGAGTCTAATTTTTTAAAGTACCACAAGATTAAAAAGTTTTAAAAAAAGAAAATATGCTGCTTTCTCTTTGATGGAACTTATATTCAGAATCCAACAAAAAATTAATTGCAACATCATTCCCTTTTGTGTATGAAAGTATGTGTTCCTAACTTTCATCTATTTTTTTACATGTTAAGATAGTGAATCAAAGTACCCACTGTTGGTTGAGTGTTTAATTTTATTGCTTTTAATTAACAGCAGAAACGAGATAAAATGCGGATCTGTGAGTCGCATAGTGTTTCCGTTGCTACGGCGAGTCAATGTGTGACAAATATAACATCACACCCTCCTGTTAATCAAACACCACATCTATAGTGTTTAGTAGACAAAAGGAGCTGCTGCTTTAGCATCTCACTTCTGCACCGTGAGAAAATATCTGAATCCTAAAAATAACATAATAAACTAATTTAAACACAACTACCAAATGAATTTTTTAAAAATTAATATGTCTTGATTTTTAAATCCTGGAATCACCATCAGAAGAAACAAGCTCAGACAAACTGGACCTCCAACGTATTTTAAATGCAATTTGGGATATTCACTCCTAGCATGTACATAAAAACAAGGAACAGTCTCTTGTTATTGTTCTAGAGATGGTCACAAAAATGTGAAATTCTAATGGACAGATCTAATTTTAGGACATATGAGTTTGATTCTTGCACATGTTGCTATAGTGACAGACGCCACCAAAAGGTGAACCAGCATTATGACACAAGGTTCACTTGACCTAAACAGAAATTGTCACATTTTTGAATGAAAACTTAATTTTAGCATGATGCTGTTTGTTCAGCTTATACAGGATTTATAACTGTTATTGTCTAAAGAAAACAGTCCAAACGTGATAATACCAACCGGCTCTTTTCTGCTGCTTCTTCCTCTTCTTTTTGGCAGCTCGGAGCGCCTGTCCCTGCTGCAGAGGATCTACTTTCACAATATCCTTCAAATTTGGAGCTTTGGGAGCCGCGTCTTTCACAGGGAGGTCCGTCTTTCTCTGGGCTTTTATCTCCACCGTCATCGGCCCAAACTATTTAATGATAACTTTCATTTGAGAAGAGGCTAAGAGTAAATATTTCAGATAAAAGCGCAAAAGTGTACCTCACCTCCAAATCCTGGTCATCCTCCATGGTTTCGGCCTCATCTTCCAGAGACCGTCCCTCCATTTCCAGGTCAGGTGACTCGATCTGAGCCCCTTGTGTCATTCCGGCAGTTTCCATGCAGAATCCCATTTGGATGTCAGGGCAAGAGGACTCTGAATCACAAGAAAAAAATCTTATGGTTTGACTAAACAACACAGTTTGTCTGGAAAAATAGATTTAATGTTAGTTTTTGTGGTGCACCTGATGGGGTCATTTTCTTCTTATTTTCCACATTTAAAAGAAAAAACACAATTGCAAGTAATACACTACATAATTACTTTGTTCAATTTTAACAAGCACTGAAGTGAACAATTCTGCTTCCTTCACTTCCTGGTATAAATCTGGATGATAAACATCTAGTAAACACCGATTTCACATTAACCAGTAGCTCTTTGGTTGCCGTGGTATTTTGCTGCAACCCCTAGGAGTTTAATAACTCAGGTGTCCTTAAGGCTGGGTGAGATGTCAAAATATTAAATGCTTGGCAGTAAAGGAACACAAAACACAATCAAACCCAGATTATCATCGCAGATTTAGGTAAATCTATTAAATCACTTGGGTTTGATGCACTAATTCAACACTTGAGGAATATTTCAAAAACTGTCCAAGTTTATGTTTCTGGCTCTCAATTTATTTGCAGCTCAGTCACCCTGGCATTCTCACGTGACATAAGTTCCCCCTTAAAGAGGAATTAAGCATTTGATAAACAACTGTGGTAGAACCATTCCTGCTCTCACTTTGGACCTCACCGGTTTAATCTATGAAATAAGGTTTGTGATGGTGGGACTTGATTAAAATGTTTCACTGAGTTAATTGCAGCGTCTGTAATTAATCACATTTTAGTCAAAAACTGTATAGGATCGACAAAATAAGCAACATTTTCAATTCAAAAACCAGTTTTGCTGCAAAATTATTGATCCAATAGACATATGAGCTCAACTAGAAAGATATTTATTGTTCTTAATCTGATCAACCATCAGATCATACTGTATACCTGTTCAGCTTCAAAGTGTTTCAGGAACCCCTGATTTGTGGACGGTGACGTCAGCAGTGGGACATATGTGCTACTGTTATGTGTTTAGCTTTGACATTTTAGGCTAGCATAACTTTACTGATCAGCTAATTCCTTTTTGAATAATTTCCACACAATAATAGATTGCATTTTGAAGCAAGAATTAACCCCAGTGGACCAAGAGAAGCAGTTTTTTTTATCTATAGCAGTTGTTTGTCAATGTTTGTGGCTTGTGCATCAGATTTACAGACGTACCAGAAACATGCAAATGCAAGAGTTCTGGCCGAAACCTTTGTATTGTGCATTTGAAAAAAAAAAAAAAAAAAAAAAAAAAAGTGATTCATTGCGCTAAAAGGTTAAATAAAATTATTGAGAAAAATTATGTTTTTAAGGTCAAATTTACATGATCTGAAACTGTAAATTTATGTCTTTAGGTAATAATGCTATTATCAACTTTTTTTTCTCCAAAGTGGGAAGTCACAGACTTGGACTTTACCTGCAAGAACCTCCTGATTTCCTTTCTCCAGCTCGTCCCAGTCAAAGGCTTTTCCCATCTCTGTAACGATCTCAGCGCTGACGTGGGTGGGCAGAGTGTGTGTTTCTGGAGGGTGTGTGAAGTAGCTGATCCTTCCTCTGCATGAAATGAAATGAATTCGCATCAAACAAACGCTGATCGAGTATCACTGGTACAAGTTTTAAAAGTCTGGTCCGCCCACCCCGTCCAGTCCATCAACACGCTCTTAGCTGCTTTGTCAGTGTCCGGCAGCCCCCCTTTCCTCAGTTTGCCTTGCCGCCGGGCGAGAAGAGCCAGGAACTCTGGAGCCGTCTGGAAGTCTGGAACGCCGTAGTGCTCAATGATCTGTGCAGATAAAGGCGCCGTCAATAGCCTGATAGACTGAGAAGCGGTACAGACGGGTAAATCGCCGTGGAGAGCCGCTGGTTCGGACCTGGGCCTTGTTACACCTGCGGAGGATGGCTTCAACGGGTGGAAGGGGATCCACAAGCTGTTCGATTTTCACGCAGTTACGAAGGATCATTGCCGCGTCGGTTGTTGATGTTGCCATGACGATTCCAGGACAATCCAGGAGCTTAACATGTTTGTCCAAATGCACTTCTTGAAGACACCTGAAGACCAAAATAAATAAAAACCTTTCAGCAAAAGGACTACTCTTGTGCTCAGGGAGTCCACTTATCNAAAAGAAAATATGCTGCTTTCTCTTTGATGGAACTTATATTCAGAATCCAACAAAAAATTAATTGCAACATCATTCCCTTTTGTGTATGAAAGTATGTGTTCCTAACATTCATCTATTTTTTTACATGTTAAGATAGTGAATCAAAGTACCCACTGTTGGTTGAGTGTTTAATTTTATTGCTTTTAATTAACAGCAGAAACGAGATAAAATGCGGATCTGTGAGTCGCATAGTGTTTCCGTTGCTACGGCGAGTCAATGTGTGACAAATATAACATCACACCCTCCTGTTAATCAAACACCACATCTATAGTGTTTAGTAGACAAAAGGAGCTGCTGCTTTAGCATCTCACTTCTGCACCGTGAGAAAATATCTGAATCCTAAAAATAACATAATAAACTAATTTAAACACAACTACCAAATGAATTTTTTAAAAATTAATATGTCTTGATTTTTAAATCCTGGAATCACCATCAGAAGAAACAAGCTCAGACAAACTGGACCTCCAACGTATTTTAAATGCAATTTGGGATATTCACTCCTAGCATGTACATAAAAACAAGGAACAGTCTCTTGTTATTGTTCTAGAGATGGTCACAAAAATGTGAAATTCTAATGGACAGATCTAATTTTAGGACATATGAGTTTGATTCTTGCACATGTTGCTATAGTGACAGACGCCACCAAAAGGTGAACCAGCATTATGACACAAGGTTCACTTGACCTAAACAGAAATTGTCACATTTTTGAATGAAAACTTAATTTTAGCATGATGCTGTTTGTTCAGCTTATACAGGATTTAT